TCCCAGCTTTACTAGCTGCTGCCTGTCTGTCAGGAAGCTGGTGATCCACTGACAGACGGAGGTGGGTACAGAGAGCTGAGTTAGTTTTGGACAGTAGGAGGTAGAACTTATTTCGCAAGTATGGAGAACAGCGATAGATGGACGGACACTGAAGTCGTTGTTCTTCTTTGTTTCTGTTGTTGAACGCCGCGCACAAATGATGTCGCTGTCGACCGACTTACGTCACTTCTTAGTACACACTGTCGGTGCGAATGCAACCCTTTAAATGGTACTGGGAAATAGTTCCCGCAAAATCGTCCCAGTACTTTAGTACTGTACATTTAGTTCTGGAACTAAAGCGGTGCAAATAATATTAACTATAAAAAAAATGTAAGTACATTTAAATCCAGGTATAATCTTTTATTTTTTTGCATTTGCAGACTAATTCTTGTTATGAATCTATACTTTCACAAAATAAATAATCTGTATTATTTTTCTGATTTTTATACATGTACATGCATGACAAATGTGTATTTGTTGGATCATGAATGAAGAGACAAGGAGTCCAGGGTGGAGATGAGGAGTCTTTTATTAATGGCGTTTACAATTCAAGTGTCAGATAAGCACCAGAGAACACAGAAATCAACTATATGTCTCTGCCTGCTCAAGCATTGGCATACGGCTCAGTTCCCAGGTGCATTATGTACTTGTTTATCAGTTCACAACAGACACAGTTAATTAGTTCAGACTTGCATATAAATACTATGAATATATGTAACAGTAAGAGAAGAATAAAAACTGAAAATAGTAAAAGCGCATATTCCCACATATTGTATAAATGGCTGTCATCTAATCTGAACACACTTTATAAATGAACGTTCATTATTTAACATTTGACAACTCTTGTGAAATTAAGATGACAAGCACATTATTTAACCAGTCAGATGAGGGGTACAATATGTGGCACAAAAATATCAAACAAAATGATGGTTAAAGGATACCCTGATGATATTTATGAATACTTGATGAAGAATAAATAACTGCACCTGATAGTTTGGCAGGTTCATTGGCTTCAAAGGCTACATTCTGACTCTCAGTCCAAATCTGAAATGATTGACGGTCTTTCATTTTCTGGAATATTTGCATTGGTTTCTATGGCAATGATGTGGAGTTGGAATGTCTAGGGCAGACAGCTTCTAACAGTTTTATTAAATATGATCAGATTCCAATCAGATATGCACAAAAAACAAATCTGGACCAACAGTATGAATAAGGCTAAAGTATGTATCATATTTTGGCCAGTAACAGGTTTTGGCTGATAAAAGCAATTATCTTTGTTTAGAAACCGCTGATGATCGAGGCTGACTGTATCCTGCCAGTCATGTGTCGTGCAGTACTTAATGCAATATAATTTTACAAAATCACAAAATAAAAAAAAATAATGCCGTTTTAGGCAGTGCAAGTCATCGCTTTTACTAGACTTCATTAGCTATTAAAACATTTTAGAGGAGCTTATTGATGGTTATTAATGTATATTTAAATCTAAATAAAGTTTTTATGTGCAAATTAATTTCTTTGTATACAACTGTTTTAACTGACTTTTTTTTGGAGTGTAATTAGTAGATCTTAAAATAAACAGCAGTTGAATATAATAGTTTGGGCTCTGTTGTTAATTTCAGTATTAGTGTACTAAATAAGGGTTCCCTGTATAGTTTACAGTATTGCTTGGGAGAGATTGTGTTTCTTAAAAACTGACATATAGGCCTGTAGCTAAAGCATTTTACAGCACGAGGAAGTGCAAACCATACAGCACAATGCGCGAGACGTTTTCATCAAACTATCTGTGCCATCAGATGTCATTCTGAATACCTGGATCAGTTTTAAAACTCCACCAGCTGATCTTCAGTGTTTTCAATAGTTGTTTTTGAAGATACTGAATCTGTAAAGAAAACTGAGTTTAGTGAGGCTCAACATGGCAAAGTACAATATCCTCTATGAAAAAGTCAGACGACACCAGACCTGAGGAAATTCATAAACCAGTGATGAGCTTCATACCTGTAGACAGCAGGGGTTCATCATGCTGCTTCAACATCAGCTGTTGACTTACATTCCTGACAAAACAAACAAACAAACAATTACAAGATGCAAATCAAATAAAATTATGCTGAAGACAAAGATACATTTACACATTTCAGGTTTTTACATGTAAGCCACATTCTAGGGCTGCACGATAAATCTAAATGGAATCGAGATCGCGATTCGACAGAGGCTGCGATTTTCATGCGTATCTTTCAGTGAAGCACGGTTCTGTGATCAGCAGTAAATCTCCATCCAAAGGCCAGAGGGCGCTCTCGCGCTGAAACTCCAAATACGCCTCGCAGAAGAAACCCAGAAAATGCCTATCGCTGCAGCTGAATAAACAGAAGATTCAACTGCTTTCATTGATTCAACGTGACTAATAAACACACGACTACGGCAATATACGGTTTATCGGAGTTATTATTATAATTTTCATTAAAATAAAGTATATTTATAATGCAATGCCTTTATCACTGCTTAAATACTATGAAATATGTTGCGTGCCTTATTCTGTGTAAGAAGCCACATCATCTCACAGAAGGATTTATTTCAAACACTCGACTGACGTTATGAAGCGAGTTACACTTACTACACAGAGCCGTAGTTCACTGAGAAGCTCAGCTTCAGATTTTTTTGTGTAACTTGTCAGTGAACTATGGCTCTGTGTAGTAAATACTGCTCCATCTGAAAGCACGTGATGATACCACATTTAATAACATGTTTTTACTCCAACCTCACTTCATAACGTCAGTCGAGTGTTTGAAATAAATCCTTCTGTGAGATGATGGCCATCTGAAAGCCCGTGATGATAATTTTCTGCTGATTACAGAACCGGCATTACTATCAAAATGCGCATGACAATCGCATTCGATTAATCGTGCAGCCCTACCACATTCCTTGTAAACATTCAAAAACAAGCAAATAATTTAGTAAACATCCAAATGCACCGCACTATTTTAGTTACACTAGGCAATCATTCTGGTCATGGTTTGAGTTTTATAATAAACTTGGATTAACTTTCATCCACTTGCTACATACAGTGGGGCAAATAAGTATTTGATACACTGCCGATTTTTCAAGTTTTCCCACTTACAAAGAATGGAGAGATCTGTAATTTTCATCGTAGGTACACCCCAGGCCCGTCTGAAGTTTGCCAAAGACCATCTGGATGATCCAGAGGAGGCATGGGAGAAGGTCATGTGGTCAGATGAGACCAAAATAGAAGTTTTTGGTATAAACTCCACTCGCCGTGTTTGGAGGAAGAAGAAGTATGAGTACAATCCCAAGAACACCATCCCCACCGTGAAGCATGGGGGTGGAAACATCATGCTTTGGGGGTGCTTTTCTGCAAAGGGGACAGGACGACTGCACCGTATTGAGGGGAGGATGGATGGGGCCATGTATCGCGAGATTTTGGGCAACAACCTCCTTCCCTCAGTAAGAGCATTGAAGATGGGTCGTGGCTGGGTCTTCCAGCATGACAATGACCCCAAACACACAGCCAGGGCAACTAAGGAGTGGCTCCGTAAGAAGCATTTCAAGGTCCTGGAGTGGCCTAGCCAGTCTCCAGACCTGAACCCAATAGAAAATCTATGGAGGGAGCTGAAACTCCGTGTTGCCCAGCAACAGCCCCAAAACCTGAAAGATCTGGAGAACACCTGTATGGTGTGGGCCAAAATCTCTGCTGCAGTGTGTGCAAACCTGGTCAAGAACTACAGGAAATGTCTGACCTCTGTAACTGTAAACAAAGGTTTCTGTACCAAATATTAAGTTCTATTTTTCTATTGTATCAAATACTTATTTCATGCAATAAAATGGAAATTAATTATTTAAAAATCATACAATGTGATTTTCTGGATTTTTTTTTTTAGATTCTGTCTCTCACAGTTGAGGTGTACCTACGATGAAAATTACAGATCTCTCCATTCTTTGTAAGTGGGAAAACTTGAAAAATCGGCAGTGTATCAAATACTTATTTGCCCCACTGTACATACACATCTTACTTTATTTTCAACTTTTTACTCAGAGCTAAATATATTTAAATGTTGACAAACTGTTGTTAAACGTTTTAATTCCAATCAAATGATAGAACTGAACATAACTAGACAAAATTAACTCTGTCTATAGAAATTAAGACCTTTTACATTACTCTTAGTTGAGTTCTATTATTAGGAGTGAAATGCCCTTAATTTTCACATTTATGCATTAGGAGCAACTTTTAGCCTTCAGATTTTTGGCGAATATGGCCCCAGATCAATATAGAACATTAGACAACTCAATTCCGTCAACTTAAGAACAAATGTAAGAAATACTTGCCTTCTTGTATTTACAGAAGAAACAAACCCCCAAGACCACAAAGATGAATACAACTGGAGCAAATAATACATATAGCCTTTGGCGTTCAGAGGATTCTGGAGGTTTTGAGATGGAGGATTGTGTTGGCTCTATACTGGAGGACAATAGAGGTTCTGTAAGATACAACAGGAAGAGAAATATTTAGAGGATTATAAACCATAAATCAAATGACCCTTCACTAAGTACCACCTTAAAACATTACTGACCAGTCCTACTTGAGCAACTTTTACCATCTGCCAAATGAAAAGCTTTTACTCTTTTCTAATCAAAATCTAAAGGTGCAGTCACATTAGCAATATTTCAGCAAACAAGGTCCGTTGTCTATAATCAATAGTGTAGCGATGCTTGACCAACTGAATTGAACTGAACACAAGCAGTTTGCATGGGCAACTTTTTTTGAACTTGCAGATTCCTAATTTTCATGACTTTATGAACACAATCGTTACCATTTACATGATTTTTTTTTCATAATACTGATATAGATAAACAGATATTTTGTAATAAACATACTCACTGTTGACAACAAGTGTAGCATTTATCCCAGACACATTATTTCCAATGATTTTTACTTCATAGAGGCCTGAGTTATTGGAGCTGACACGTAGAAGAGTTAAGGTTCCTTCTTCAACTCGCAGTAAGACTCCCGGTGTTTCCACGGCATCACAGTCCCCACAATGAGCACAGCGACAGTACTGCGCAATCAGATATTTCTGACTTCCTCTTGTCAAAGTTATCTTCACTTGATCGGCTCTCTCCAGTCCAGCCGTTTTGAAGGATATGGTAACATTTTCTCCATCAGCTGCCTCCAAATTCAACTGAGCAACACACACAGCAACTGTTTGGGACACAAAGAAAATATTTATTATGCTTTAGAACAGTGTTTCCCAAGATTTTGTCCTCCAAAAACAACCCCATCAATAAAGGTAGACGCAATATATTTGGCGTTACAGTCTATAGTAGCAAATAGCTTCTGCTTCGACAGACTGTTGCTGCTCTACAAAGGTAATAGGTTTTAAATTTAAATCGAGTTAAATCCTTACGTTAAGTGCTATTAAACAGCCTTCAGAGCACACAGTCTGCATATTTCACACAGTTTGCAATCCCTTGCAAAGGATTTTGTTCCAGTTTTCTGTTTTGTTTCTAGTTGAATTAAAAAGTCCTTTAACTCCCCAGGCATGTTATTCAAGGACCAACCGACCATCTCATCATGCAATAAATGCACTGAATTAAAACGGTGAGTTAATTGTCCTCAAAGCTCATAAGACATGTAACCTCCTGCCACTTTTTATTTCCCTGCCTACCTAAATAAGCTATTAATTAGAAATAATATGCATGCATTGATGGATGAATTTCATAATTAAAGAAATTCCTTACTGCTGCATCAAAGGTAGCCTGTTAATGGCATAAGAATGCATGAATCATCAAATAACTTCTGATTAAAAAAAATAAAGTTGCAGTCAGGTTGTGAGTTCAATAACTGAGTTTTTAAACGCATGCAGCTGTGGCACGAATAATGGTACTATTCTGGTGTGAATTCCGACTCCCTGCCAGAATCCGACTGCCTCTCATGTGCATGCGCACAACCTCAGTTCCCTAGACATGGTGATCTTTTAGTTTACTGTTAATTTTTGTTATTATGATTGTTCATTGTAAGAGACACAACTATAGTTCCTTTCCCTGATCTTGTATGTATTTATAAGTACTGGAAGAAAAAAATAAAATTACTGTTCTTCGACGATTGTTTCCGCACAACAAATGCCCAGTAAAGCACATTCCAATTATCAATTTATTAATCACATATCGATTCGGCCATAAGAGCGTTAGGAAAAGAAAACAGTTTGCACACATTTGATTTACTTATAGCTACTGTTTGCCAGAATCAGTTCTTAGCTTCCTCAGTGCTAATCATGAAACATGACTGACTCGTAATTATTAATACATATCACTACTGCATTATTCTGTAATATATTATGTAATGTCATGTACTTTATAATTTTACCAATACACACACACACCTGTGAATCATCAAAGCTTTTCTCTGTGTGTATATATAGCCCTGCTTTGTCAGTCTTACACCACTCTGTGTATGTCTGCGACCGTCTTCATCTGTGATTCCTGTCTAGATTAAGTGTTTGTTAGTACTCTTTAATATATGGTTGTTTTGCCTTGCTTGTTTTGTACTTTTTGGTTCTTATGCTACTGTGTTACTTTTCATTAAACTCCTACTTTTGGCTTCAGTAATCTCCAGTCAGTCACTGTGTTCCCTCCACACCCTTATATATAGCCTAAATGTATATATCTACACAGTATAAGCATGCATGTCTGTGTGTGAATTAATAAAAAAATAACATGAATGTGAATTGAATAAAATGAAAATGAATAATTATTCCTTCATCAGTAAACAAAATACATCCATACAATGTAACTGCCAAAAATATAACCTGTTTATTAAAGGGGTCATATGATGCGATTTCAATTTTTCCTTTCTCTTTGGAGTGTAACAAGCTCTTGGTGCATAAAGAAGATCTGTAAAGTTGCAAAGACTAAAGTCTCAAATCCAAAGAGATATTCTTTATAAAAGTTAAGAGTCAGCCACGCCTACCTAAAACGGCTCGTTCTAACACGCCCCCACATGTCTACGTCACGATGTGGGAAGATTTGCATAACGCCGCCCAAATGTTCACGCAAAGAAAGAAGGTGTAACTTTTATTCTCGCTATAGTATTGTTGCCGCCGCCATGTCGTGAAGGTCGCATAAACACATTTCATTACACCAAATAATGTTCTTTTTAGCAGCATCATATGACCACTTTAAATCTCCTGGCCAGGGAAGAAAAGTTTACTTTTATGGAGATAACGTCTATGAGCACATGCATCAGATCTCTTCTCTCAACTGCATGTCTGTTTCTTAAGAACAACTCCAAATGGTACCAAGTACTGAGTGTTAAAGTAGAAAAAGCACAGTGAACAGGTTATGTATGAACACCTTTGTCTCTTTTTTACGAATTAACAACATAAATTATAAACATATACATACATGCAGTGACACACACAACATACACAAAATTAAACGGGGTAAATTAAAGATTGCCCTGTCTAGAAAAATGACAGATTCTTGGAATCTGCCACAACAACACCGGTGAAAAGAGCTCTGTCTGAGTCTGACCACAGACACACTCAGGGCTGGATTGGGGTTTAAACTCGGTCCTGGACAAATCCAGCCCATCTGGGCCACGAGTTCCCCCATGAATGTTTTGCTGGGTTATAGGGCCTTTAATTGGAATAAATAATAACAGACATTACTGAATTCACGGCTACTGCAACAAACTTAATAATGCATTTTTGTCACATAGAAATGCACTTAACAGTAAAGCATTGATTTTGAGCTAGAATTCAGGAAATTTATTGCTAATAAATCATGTCGTTCCAAACCTGTATAACTTCGTTTCTTCTGTAGAACACAATTTGTATAACTTTTTTGGTTACCCTTGCTTTCTACTGCATGGACAAAAATTTATTGAATTTCCCAAATGATCTTCTTTTATGTTCCACAGAAGAAAGAAATTCATAAAGGTTTGGAATGACACGGTGTTGAGTAAATGACTATTTTCATTTCTTGAAAAAAAAAAAACAAGCCCAAATTCTCGTATAGTAAACGGACAGTCCAGTTTTACACTTGAATACAAGACAAGCATCTTTCCATTAACCACAAACTCCCTACTCACCCGAAATTACCGCGGAGAAGACCGTGGAAAATAATTTCATCTTTAACACGGTTCCGGAAAAACTCCTAAATTAGCTTCAAAATATGTAACGCAGCGCTTGTATGTAAAAAGCTCTTATCCGTGTTCCGCTACTTATATTATGGACTTGATTTGTCAACTTCAACACGGTTGTGTCTAGAAGGCTAACTAAACCGGAGGCTAACACTCACTGCCGAAAAATTAGGCTTTTATTGATGTTCGCATGCGCCCCCGCATGCGCCTCCGCCCCCAAAACCAGTTCTGTACAACTCCTAAATTAGCTTCAAAATATGTAACGCAGCGCTTGTATGTAAAAAGCTCTTATCCGTGTTCCGCTACTTATATTATGGACTTGATTTGTCAACTTCAACACGGTTGTGTCTAGAAGGCTAACTAAACCGGAGGCTAACACTCACTGCCGAAAAATTACGCTTTTATTGATGTGCGCATGCGCAGCAGCGCCGTATGTATCCCGTATGTAGCCTTCACCCTTCAACACCGGCAACAGCCGTTCAGGTGCATATACCGCCACCTACTGTAACGGGTTCAGACGCGGACTGCTTCTTCTTCTTCTTTTATTTATTGACGGTTGGCAAACCAGCTTTTAGGTGCATTACCACCAACAACTGAACTGGAGTGTGGAACAGCAATGCGGAAGGACTAATCTTACTAACTTTAAAAAATAAAGAAAGAACTAAAAATAATAAAAATCATATTTTTCATTTAATTACTTCATTATATTCTCAAATATAATGTTGTTGCTTTTACATATTGTAACACCTCATCTTTCATACCATGTCTTGGATTCCTTTTTCCTGCAATTTTATGAGCAACACTCGTCTTTCATTTTCATGCTCTGTACAATGACATGCTCAACATTACAATGACTGCATAACCCATTGTGATGCTTTTTTATTTTATATAAATTACCATTAAGTCCAGTATGTATGACCTATATGTAATCTTGTTATAATTGATTCTTCGTTTCTTCTTAATATGGTTGTGACTCCTCTTACTATTCCCACATTTTCTTGAATTCTATATAAATGTCTTCCTCCTCGATCCCACATTTGCTGCCATAGATTATTTGTAGCTTTTCTAATAATTGCCTTGAAAAATGAGTTTTTTTGCTAAAAATCTAATTTGCAGGAATCCAAAGAAAATGAATGTTAATTCCTTGGTTATGCAGTATGCACACTAATTGCCATAATTCATACATTATATCCTGTCTACAGTTAGAATGTACATATTTCAGGCTTTTTAGAGCTGCTAGAGTCACAGCATATGACTACCGGGTCTAGCCTCACTTCTCCACCCGCTGTAGAGCCCAGACGCGGACTCCGCCCCCAAAACCAGTTCTGTACAAATCCCGCCCAGCAGCGAATCTCATTGGTTGGTGTGGGCTGGGCATTCATGACCAATCAAATCTTTAGAATCACCTGCAGGGGCGGAGTTTTCGCTGTCAGAAGTAATTTAATCCGCCACCTACCATATTTAGTAACCTAACTCTTACAGCCATGATGATTGTCCCAAATGATAAAGCTATGTTTAATTGCGCTCCTCCATAGTTTACTTTACCAGATCCTCAAACAGTCCGAATCTAAGCATTGCATCTTATTATGTTATTATTGCATCTGTTTCATGTAAAACGGTAAAGAGTGCTTAGTACAGCTGTGGATCCGCAAAATATCCTCACAAATAAACGTTTTGTAACTATACCACGCTTACTATCACATACAAACAGAACGCTATCCACCCCTGTATTCACAGCTCGAGGGTAAGAGGGCGGAGCCTGTTCTGATGAAGACGGGGAAATGCCCAGCGTTCGTTGCGGACTTTAATGCGAATTTCCCTTTTTTGTGCGTTTTGTATTAGAGTATTATTGCCTGTTAGTTAGAAATATGCGAAACGACTTGTATCAGACAGTCATGTTTGTGATATTCCTGGGGCCAGTTTCATAACTAACCAAACAGATACTCAGAAATATTATTTACTTGATTTAGACTGTCGATGTGAGCTTGTATAACATATTGTATATTGTTTCTTAAACGTGGGATTGGCAATGTACAGTATTTATCGACGTCATGTTTTACAATTAATCTAGCTCGTATTTCTAATATCGATGTAAATATGTATTGCGTATAGTACAGATTCAGTACTCTCAGATGGTAAAATTCTTTACTTACTGCGATAGCGAAGGTTGCCATCATGGAGTAAATGACTGTGGAACAGGCAGCATCATGGCTGCAGTGCGAACACCGAACAGGCGGGTTGTTCCACTTGAAGCTGCACAAGACATGGTGTTTGACATCAAAGTACCGCGAGAGCTCCAGAGAGCAGACGGCTCCGTATGCTTTCGAATCGCTCTCGCGATACTTTCGATCGGTCTGCGCTGCGCAGCCCAAGTAGATATAATTGCAGACCGGAGATCCCCAAAATGGGGCGTGAACTCCAAAAATGGGGCGGGGTCTCCTCGCGCAAAGACTTTCACCAATGGCTCTGGCTCCAGCCAATTGTTATTGACTTACATTTCAAAATAAAACTTTATAAATTAAACATTGTTTCTAGTTCATCTAAAATAAAATATGCTATATAAATAAAGATTCTCCGTGAGAGCAGAGCCCAAAGCTCGTGGCAGTTATACCCTTCTCTCTTCTGCCACCCCTACATGAAATTAATTTTACATATTTTTTCTATTTTATATAAATGTATATATTTAAATTATTCAGGCAAATAAGTAAAAAAATACAGTGAATCCCCCCCCCAAAACCGCACAACTCTACAGTAAAAACATTAATAAAAGGAGTGATGTTACATTTGTTTGAAACATACATTATAAAATCACATTTTACTGTATGGTTATGTAAGCTAGTTGGACAGAAAAGGGAATGTTGTTGCCCTATAGGGCAATTACATAGCATAACATATAACATAAGTAATATATTATCCTATTTTAAAGAGATGAGGGATAGCTGCATAGATAACATTTATCTTTTGCACATTTCCCCTCTTCTTTTTTTCCTAAGTTGGGCTCCTGATGCTTACCCTCCCACTCTCCCTAAGTCAACTTAGTGAAAGTGACACCAGTCAAAGTGAAATAAAGTGAATAATGTGAAAATGAAATGGATAACATTTATCTTTTGCACATTTCCCCTCTTCTTTTTTTCCTAAATTGGGCTCCTGATGCTTACCCTCCCACTCTCCCTAAGTCACCTTAGTGAAAGTGACACCAGTCAAAGTGAAATAAAGTGAATAATGTGAAAATGAAATGAAAAGTGTTGATTGCGGCATTACATTTTTTCTGCTCATGCTGCATCATATTTATTTTCCAAAACTTGTATGGGCTAAACTGTGGATCATTTAGGCTGTCATTGCTTTGGCAAAAAATATATTCAGTGACTACATTTATCAAATTACGTGAATTCTTTTCTCACTCAAACACAAAGCCAAAACTCAATGAACCTACAGGCTTTTTTGCACAGGTGCTCTTTTAAAAACTGTTAAACTTGAAGTTAATAAGCAATTTGCTACATATCTGCAGTAGCTATAACAATATTGAGATAGCTTATATTCCAAGTCTAAAAGTGTTTTTAAATCATTGTTTTATGAGTGACAAAGTGAGGTTTTTTGGGGGTGAAGTCCTTTACTAGTGTTATGAAGAATGGTTGTCTCTCTGACTCTGGTTTCATTGAGGTTTTCAGGCAGGGCCCAGGTCTCTCAACACACAGAAAGACACTCGTTGTTCGCCACCTAGTGGTGTAATGATAGAATAGAACCTACAGAAAGAGTTGCTGAATCTTTGTAGTGAATGGATTCATCATCTTGGAATAACTGGGGAAATCAACATCCCCGCCATATCTTCTTCTGGTGCTTGGCTTATAAATTCAGCATAGAGAGGAGTAGTGGGTGTTTTGGAAGATTATACAAGTGGGCAATAATAAAATGGAAATGTTACATGATTTGTCTACAATTTATGGGCAATAAGTATCAAATGAGGTTTGAGTATTAGAGCTAAATCTAAAATCCTGATCAGTTCCAGGAGTTTGGATTAACCTGCACTGATGTTCCCTCATCAGCAGATGATAGCTTGGAATACACTAATCAAAATTAATGAAAACTTGGAAGTCGTTCAAAAATATTAGAAGTAGCTGCTCTAAAATATTAGTTCTAAACATATTTGGAAACGTGAAAATCAATTTGTTAAAAGTGTGTGATTATTTCAAACAGGTTTAAAAAGAATGACTTGAGAAGAACCTAAGTGAACAAACATTTTGCTGAGATCTCGTGGAATGTTGCGGAAACCTTTCCAGTGTAAGTTAAATATTAATAATAATGAAATATTACTGATAGTAAAACATAAAGTGTTGCACTTTTATTGGTGCAAAGATTAGTATATTCTGCACAACATTTGCAACTACTCTTTACAACTTCATTAGAAGCACCACAATTACTAAATTGTGTTTTAGAGGCAATTGTATTGAAAATCAAAATAAAGCTCTGTAAACACTTTCATTTTTACATCACTAAGTGTGTCCCATCGGGTAATGAAACTTTCTACTCACACTTGTGGCCTTCCTGCTCACTTGAACACTTGGGCCAAATACAGGAAATTAATCATGTAAGCAGACAAGTGGTTAAGTGCAAAGACCACAAGTGTGAGTATTTGGATAAGCCCTATTTTGCTGTAAACTGGTGTAACTGATTTCATGGTCACTTCCTGGTGAGTTACATGTTCTCTGTCTGAACTTTTGTTAATCCAGTTTCCTGTTTCTTTTGTAGTCTTTTTGTAGTTCTTTTGGCTCCCTTCATCACTGCCTGATTGTGTCCAGGCGTTCCAGGAACTCACACAGTGACCCTCGAGGACCATTATGTAGTGATTGGAGATGTTTGTTTAGTCCAAATCAATGAGTGTAAAGTCCAGGAAATCAGTGAGATATGGGAATGTCCAGAATGTCTCTGGTGTGGTCCTCAAGGGAATGATTGCTTTGACGGAGGCAAATTGACCTTGATGTTGGATCCGTTCATCCATTCACAAAAGTCTCCTACATGACCTCTGTGCAGTGTCTGTTTTTCTACAAAGACATCTACTGACAAAGAAAATGTACACTCTAAAAAATGCTGGGTTAAATACAACCCAGTGCTGGGTGAAATAGGGACAAACCCAGCAATTCGGCTGTTTTGACCCAGCAGTTGGGTTACTACCCAGAAGGTTGGGTTAAACATTTAACCCAACCGCTGGGTCAAAACAGCCCAATTGCTGGGTTTGTCCCTGTTTTACCCAGCACTGGGTTGTATTTAACCCAGCATTGTTTGGGGTGTAGTATGAGTAATGGTATGTCTCTCTTCTTCAGATTGTCTGGATCACTGTGGCGTCACTGAGGCTCTGGTTCATCTGGTTCTGTCTGGTCTGCTGGAAATCTAAAAAATGCTGGGTTAAATACAACCCAGTGCTGGGTAAAATATGGACAAACCCAGCGATCGTGTTGTTTTCAACCAACAGTTGGGTTAAATGTTTAACCCAACCTTCCGGGTAGTAACCCAAATGCTGGGTCAAAACAGCCCAATCGCTGGGCTTGTCCATCTTTTACCCAGCGCTGGGTTGTATTTAACCCAGCATTTTTTTAAAGTTGCACTGTTGTATTTCTGGTTGAGCATCTGAGGTTCAGCTCATCTCAGAGGAGAGCTGCTGCTTCTGTGTGATGATGATAGGCTACTTTCATGAGATTTTGCAGGTTGTGAACTTTGGCATTGAAGCAGACGGTAAAGTGTTACCAAGAGGTGTGAAGCACCTGTTGGTTGCAGTAGCCTATTCCTTATTTATTGCTGTGGACTAGAGTAAATATACTAGAGTAAATGTGACCAGTATGCTTCGCAAGTATATAAAATGCACTCAAACATTTATGTACATAGCATAAGTATATTTTTGTATTTGTGAGTATATGCAATAATGTCTATAAATGTGTTATTTTTTCTTATGTTTGACTGTTAGACTGTTTTGACTGTTAAGTTTTCGCTAAAACTTTAATACGCGTCTCAAGTCAGTGGGTGTTTTGGGATGGAAACATTGTAGAATTAGCAGGAAGAATTGTAATTAGCATGAACATATTGTTGTCATGTTAAAACTCTTCAAAATGTGCTTTTAATGCACCGTGGCCGGCCGGGTGTAATAATTGTCGCGTAGACGCCTTGATCACGTGGTTTTCTCAGTGCTGGTCAGGATGGTCCAATCACAGTGGATTATGATTACTTAATGAGCCATTAAAAAATATATTATTTATAAATTTCCGTATCGGATTTTTATAGCTATGCCGGAAACGAATCTTTAAAATTAATATGTTAGAAAGATAATACATTTTCCTTCCTTCTGTAATAAGCAAAAAAAACCGTCTGAGATTTGAATGCGGGTCAATCAAGGAAAGGCTCTCTGGGCCATAAAGCGCCCTCTGGTGGAAATACACAGAATGTCTCAAGCCCAACGGACTTTGGCTCGAGTGAAGCGCTGATTTCAGAATAGCGTCTTTGATGACGCGTTGTCGTGAAGATGGCGGAAGTTCGTTCCTGATCAAAACTGGAGTCGCTCGGTACGGATTGTCTAATAAACTATCTGAAGACGGATCGGTTCAGCTTCACGTCTCACATCTGACCCGCCGATATATTCGGGTAAGAGCTGAACAGCTGATCGAGACTGTGTGCTGTAGTTTACAGTCTGTATACGCGCTTGTGTATGTGCATTGCGTTATAGTGACACCGAGTCGTGTTGACAGCTCGACCAATCACTTTGACTATTTGTATCTCGTATAAATAGCTCTGTTTCGACAATAAGAGTCAGAGGGAATCAATAACATGTGCCTGAAGATGTTTCTGTGTGTTTATTGTTTACTGATTGTGATCGGGTCATGTATGAACACATGTGGCATGTTAATACTGTCATGTCAGATGTTCAGCTTGAGTTTGTTGTTGGTTTTGGGTTTGGTTTTGGTTTCAGCTGATTTGATGATTAAAATATTTCCTAGCTAAACAGGTTTGCCCTGAAGCAGCTCAAATGATCTCCATCAACATTTACCAAAAATACCGCGGTAAAAAATTGTTTCTGCACCCCAAAAAATAGTTACTGGAGTTTTGTTACTTGTTATTAGCCACCGCTATCAGAATGCTAATACTATGGTGTATTGATATATATCATGGTATTTAAGTGGCCATGGTAGTTCCAAGAATACCATGGTATTGTACTACTATGGTACATATAATGCACTTATGTAAGTTAAGTGAGAAAAAAGTACCATAGTAATTAATTATCATGGTAATATTGTGGTATTACTTAAATTACCTTGGGATTTCATGCGAATATCATGGTGTTTTAATAAAATGCCCAGTCATTACCAAACATTTATTCAACTTATACTTCACTATACCATGGTATCACTAAAGGCCTGAAAGCTGCTTACAATGTTTAAAGGAGAGAGGCAGGTTTATTATGAGTTTACAGTACTAGCAATGACTGTCGTAACTGGTATTTTGGAGGAAACTATTACTATGGTAATGTTGTTTATCTGTTTTATGTTGACCCGTTCTGGAACTGTTTTGTGTTGAAAGTCATATTAAGTGTTAAAAACTGTCTGGAGTTCAGAGTTTGTCAGTTTTATGGCTGTTACTGTGTTTAACATAGTGTTTAGATCTGCTGGGGTTTTTTGTTACCATATGATTCATCAATCACATCAAAAAAACGCATGTTAACAGGAAGAAACGTCAGTTAAAGATAGATAGTTGGTAACAGTTTTAGGGGTAACGCTTTACAAGTAATGTGAGTTAAGTAATCAGATTACTTTTTTCAAGTAACTAGTAAAGTAACACATTACTTTTAAATTTGCAATCAAATAGCTTTTTCAATTATGTAACGCAAATGACTTTGTTTTCCTATTTATTCACTGAAACCTCTTCTGTCCCCGTGTTGAGAGAAATTGGGAGTGAGGTACAGAGGCACTTCCTTCACTTATTTCACTCTTGGTGTGAAAGGGCCTTTGCGGTTGCCAAAACTATAACTTTTTTTTTTGTGTTATTAAAAAACAAATAAGCAAGTCCAGCCCTGGTGACAAAAAGTAATGCAAAAGTAACATAATGCATTACTTTCCGTAAAAGTTGACTAAGTAATGCAGTTATTTACTGTTTATGGAGTAACACAATATTGTAATGCATGACTTTTAAAAGTAACTTTCCCCAACACTGGTTTGTAGCTACTAACAAAATGTATCTACAAGTAGGGCTGCACGATTAATCGAATGCGATTGTCATGCGCATTGGAGTTTCAGCGCGAGAGCGCCCTCTGGCCTTTGGATGGAGATTTACTGCTGATCACAGAACCGTGCTTCACTGAAAGATACGCATGACAATCGCAGCTTCTGTCGAATCGCGATCTCGATTCCTTTTCGATTTATCGTGCAGCCCTATCTACAAGTACCATGGTATCTCTTTTGAACATGGTAATAACGCTTCATTGCAAAACTTGAGTATTGATTTGATCATACAGTAATGATTTGATTAGGGCAGCGACAACTCATCATGAATAATGAAAGTAATCGACCACGATTATCAATTAATCAGATCACCTCACTTTAGTAAATAACACATTTTTATGGACAAAACACACATTAGATATACTGGAAGACACTGTATGTATTGAAATAAAATTTTGCAAGCTTACCCGATTAATCAAGTAAATAATTTACATATTAAACGATTACCAAAATAAATGTCAGTTGCAAATGTAGATTTGGTTATATAATTAAGTCACAATTAAATATTCCAGACAGCCATGTGGTAAATAAAAGTACCATGATATTACCATTTCATACCATCACTGTACCACAGTACAGTGAATAATGAAAGCAATCGACAACAATTGACCTATCGGTAAGCCCCTCCCCTCGAACGCAGACTAGCCAATGGCAGTCGAGTATCAGTTGCACGGGGAGCGGAACTCGGACATCTTTAGGTTTCAGCGCCATAGAGATACATTGGAAATCCGAAGCGCTCATCGCTTTGATGGTGTTTATGCAACAAAAATGGCAAAACGATGTGCCTGGGGTTCTTGTAACACTGATTCCAGGTATCCTGAGAGGATAGGCAATAGAATTTATTTTATTACATTTCCTAAACCCACATAAAACAGAGCAAAATGTCCCTAAGCATTCAACCCCAGTCCCAATGAAGACAAAAACTTTCATTTTCTGGTTGTCATACAATCATTAAGTTACAATTTTCATCTGCTCAAGCAGAACATTAATGTCATCTTGGGGTTCAGCAAAATATCTCTGGCTAAAACTAGCTAACGTTAAAGTTAGTGAGTCCATGCTATTACAAACCTAAATAGTGAACTGTTCTCACGTCATGGACAATGTAGGTCAAAAACACATAAACGAAGGTCTACATTTCAGTGCGTCTTCATATTAAACTGGTTAAATATACATGAATTTAATCGTACCCTGCGATACATGAACAGTGTTTATCTGGGATTTTTGTCATCTGCGATCGTGATGGCCGTAAGATGAGACTTCTCCTGTTTGCATTGTGATCTGTAAACCCTCGCTTCGAGTTACCCACCATATTTATTTTAAAATATAGAGTGAGCAACTCCACTTGTTTGTCCAAGGGAGCAACAGTAACTAAGGGGCTTACCGATAGGTCAATTATCGATTAATCAGATCACATCACTTTACAGAAGTGAATAACATATTTCTATGGACAAACGCACATTAAGTATAACAGAAGACTGAGACAATATACAGTGGTGTGAAATCAGGAAGGGGGCCAACACTTTTTCACACCACTGTACATAGAAATAAAATTTGGCAAGCTTGCCCAATTAATCAAGTAAATAATCGACAGATTAATCGATTACCAAAATAATTGTTTGTAGATAGATTTATAGATTTGGTTAATAGATTATAGATTTGGTTATAAAATGTTGTCACAAACAAATATTCCAGACAGCGATGTGGTAAATAAAAGTACCATGATATTACTGTACCACTTTATCACTGTACCATAGTACAGCCGCAGTAAAGAGTAGGCCTGGGCGATAAAATGGTATTGATATTTATCGACGGTACACCTTCTTCGTTATCAATAAAAAAATTGTACGATATAGGCACGTACTCTGAGTGACGCAGACAGCACACACAAACACGAACACATGCTGAAATGAGTGCTGTGCCTGCCTGTTATGAGGAGATTGTGAATAAAGAATGAATATTAGTCGAATTTAAAATAAACATTTGCATTTTAATGTTAGGTGTGCGTCAGGGAGCGTCATCAGTGGCGCGCGAGATGCGGTGATGATGTAA